TATTTGAATGGGAAGTATATGGTCTTGATTTCAAATTGGATCCTTTATTATAGTGATTTGATTATCTCCGACTACTACGAATTCATTCTTATAATTCGATTAAAATAAGATAGACTTGGAGGCGGACTCGATACGGAAGCACTAGCACCCAATGGATTGCAAAGGATTGGGCTGCCCATGAAATATATATGTTGCAAGCAGCGCTGATTCTCCGGTCCTTGATTCCAAATCAAAGGATCCTCTCAACTCGTATTTCTCTATCGTCCCTATAATTGTTATCGATATGATAGATTTAAGATAGATTCTCTCTATATATGATTTCCTAGATGATATTAATATTACATATGACGCAAATATTATCGCTGGAATATTCGAATAAACCTTTCCGCGTAGATCGGAAAAATATCTTTATATATTATCCCAGAAGAGATTGATCTCAGCGTCGACCATACGCTCGTTTCGATTCTTATGATAATATTGCCAGGCCTGTTGGAGGCCGAGACCTTTTGATATTATGGTCGATATATTTGCGAAGCGATCCGTAAAGGAAACCGAAAGTTCCCCTCCCCCGGGAAGCGGCAAGATGATCATTCAAGATATCATCCGGATTATATATACGATATCCGGGAGATCGGATCCTTTGTCTATTGGAAATCGATTATGGAAATATATAGTCCTAATATTGAGTCATATCTCTTCTAATTCTATTTCTTATGGATCTCTACGATAAATTCTTAAGAATTCATAGGGATCAGGATATTCATTCTCTGACGCATATAGGATAGCCTCCTCCGCAAAATCATTCTCTATAGATAAGTGAGGGACGCTCCTTCGATCATTTGAATAAGGATCATTGCTTTGTACGATCTCAAAGCAAGATTCGTCTTTGATAAGATATAGATCTAATCCTCTTCAATTCAAATAAATATTAATATCTATTTAGCTCATTTATGAGAAAAAATCCCATTTTAGTGGCACGAGGTTTATCGTTTTCATTTCCAGCAATAAATCTCGAGAGAATTTTATGATATTCTTATTATGAACGTCCCTAATGATCATAAATCTAAATCTTGATTGATTGAAATTTCTGCATATAGATCACGATAGATTTCTAGTATTTTTGCAGATTTTTCGCACGAACGAGATCTTTGGGAATTTATTCTAAATATTATCTCGAATAATCTAAATAATAAATCGTATTATATGAAGGCAATAATTAATTATTGATCTCCTCGATATAAGGAATTTAGATCCTGATAAAATCTCATTTGAGAAGAATTTGATGATGATTTGATTCATTATTCTTGAGAGAATATACGCATCATAAGCAGGGTTCCCCTTCTTTGGTCAAAGATTTCTGAATAAATTCCTTTTGAATTCCAATTGAATAAAAAGAAATCTTGGAATATCAGAATTCTAGATTTGGAGATGATTTTATTCCAACTAAATTCCTTTTATAATCTAATTCTTAATTCAAGAGCAAGCTTCAAATCTTGATATTCTAATTTGGAAGTTGATTTTATTTTATATAAATTCAAATTCATAATTAATTCGGAAGCTTCAAATCTTGAAATTCTAATTTAGAAGCTGATTTTATTTTAAAAAAATCCAAATTCATAATTAATTCGGAATTTAGGATAATTCTTTTATCAATCCTCTCAGAAAGCAAGAGATAATCTTGGATTCTAATTTTGGAGGTAATTTTATTCCAATTAATTTCCTTTAAAATCTAATTAAGAATTAAAGAGGAATCTTATAATCTGATTTTGAAGGCGGATTAAATATTTAAAGATCTTCTTAAAAATATTTCAGAGTCGAAAAGATATCTTGATATATTGGAATTCTAATTTGGGAGGAGAATTTCTTTTATTTGATCTCTCTTTAGATTCTAATCAGGATTTAAATAGGAATCTTGATCTCGGAATTCTGATTTTAGAGAAGATTTATTTAATATATATTCTTCATAAAATCTAATTAAGAATCAAGGAAGAGATCTTAGAATTATGAAAATCTAATTTTGGAGACGGCGTTATTCGAATTAAGCTCGTTCTGAAATCGATTGGAATTCTGATTTTGCAAGGGATTTTATTCCAGCTAAATTCATTTTCAGAATCTAATTAGGAAAAAACAACGTACGATGAGAGCGAGATTATATATATAATCGAATCCGGCAAGAAGAAGGAAATTTCGTTATTCAAGAAATCTAAGGATAATCTAATTAGATATCTCTGAGATCGTTTGAAGAGATAAGAATTGCAAGAGAAATCGGCGTCCGCCTTCCAATCGTGAAATCTCGGAACCATCCGCTACGAATTAGATGAGAAGGAAGACGCCGAATAAAGAGAAATGACCACGCAGAAGCGGACCCTCAAACGAAATAAAGAATTGATTAAAAAAGCGCAAAAATCTATCCTATCTTTTCATCTACGCGCTCAAATTTCTATCTTCTCAGATCTGGAATCATCATTTCCTCCGCATGATATCCTGATATCAGATTCCATAATCATTCTTTCTCCGAATATATATATAGGAATTGAATAGAACGATCATGAGATTTCGACGGACCCTGGATTCTGTCCGGAATCCGCTGCAAAGAATTATAGTCATATTTCTGAACACGAAGGAAATACGTTGCTTCAGCATCTAATAGGAAGATCTCGTATTTCGTTGCAAATTATCATCAATAAATCGATAAAGCCAAATCAATAAATGATCTCCCTATAATTCCAAGTCCCCAGATTATTCAAAAATCAATAATTCAAATCCTATGCCCTGGAGATGATATTTTCGAGTCATCTCACGATCCCGCCATTTATATTCGCCCAATTGAGATGAAGTGCAATCTTCGGCGTAAGACCCCAAATTGGGAATTCAAGCGCGGAAGTAAGGATCATGAGAAAATATTCATTTCAAAATATCTCTTTCCCAGGGCATAAGATTTGAGTTATTGATTTTTGAATATTCTGGAGGACTAGAATCGGAGGGAGATCATCTTCTGATTTCGTTTTGCCGAACTATCGATGATAATTTGCCCCGAAAGATTGGATCTACGTGTCAGATATTGAAATAACGTATTTCCTTCGTGATTCAGAAATATGGGCATATTTATTTGCAGCGGGCTAGGGACCAAAGCCAGAACCCGCCCAAAACTCATGATCGTTCTATTCAATTCCTGCAAATATATTCTGAGAGAAGATGATCATTGAAATTATTGATAGGATCCCACGTGCAGGATATTATAATTCTGAATCTGAGGAGACGGGACCTGAAGCGAATAGATAATTGGAGATAGAGCATCTTATTTTCTCAGTATTTTTTCATTTCGTTTGAGGGTCTGTTGTTGCGTTGTTGTTTTTCGTTCTTTCGGCGTCTTCTTTCTCGTCTAATTCGTGGCGGGCGGGAGCGGGGTTTCACGATTAGAATGCGGATGCCGAATCTTTTGGTGATCTTTTTTGTTCAAACGAATGGGAAGATGCCTAATTAGTTTTCTTAGAAATCTTTCTTTATAATCGATCATCTCCGTAGATCCTATTAATCTATTTATATTCTGCTCTAATTCTCATAATTTATGCCAGTTACGCCCAGAGAGATTCGATAAAATCAAAAAAACATCATATAGAAAATCGTTCCCGAATCAAGAATCAAGAGACCAATAATCTCCGAGATTTTTTAGTCACGCCCAATAAATTCTAATTTCTAAGAGATATTATAAATCATCAGAGAAATGAAAAGAAGTATTTCAAAATTAAGCTAGAAAAATTAGATCGCATACGAATAAAAGAAATACAAAGTTCCGTAGTATATATATATATATCAACGAACATCCTATCAATATCTTTCATAAAATATGATAGAGAATAAATAATTCGAAAATATGATTATAAATAGCAAAAAAAAGATTTATCCTCTCATAAATCTTCATATTCAATCAACTAAGAAATCATATAACCAGAATAGTCCTCTTCTCTATAGTAATAGAATTATATATCTAAAAATCTCTATTATAGCAAGCAAGATAGATATTCCATATGTAAAATTGCACGTAATATCTGTTGACTAATCAATATAAAATATCAATTGATGAGATTTAGCATCTCCGTCCCAGGTCTATCCCTTTCCTCGAGTCGTAGAGCCAAAATTCAGGAGGTTTTTGGTCGCGTGGCCTCCGCATCCGGCCTGACCCTCCTCTGATGTCTGCGTTTTCGCCCCCTGCATTGTCATATAACTTCTTGAGGTATGTTGCGTGCACTTCTTGTTGTGCCGTTAATTTCTACTGACATGTTGCACACAGGTATTGGGGATGAAAAAATTTGTGAGACCAAAATCAAGAAATACTAAAAGACGCTAGATTTTCCCTCAACCCACAAACTCTGCCGATGGATTTCGTCGTTGCCCATCAACTCTGAGGTCTGCCTTCAAACCGAAGCTCCAGTGCCTCAACACCCGAGAGTACAGATTCACCGGAGTGTTCCGCGTTCATGGTCCGGCCGTGAGAGTTATATTTGTAATAGATCATGCGGAGTCATCAATTTGATCATTGCAACATTTGCTTTAAGTGGCGTCTCCTGATTTCTTGCCTCAGGCACCCACTCATGATCAGCAGTTTCTAAAGTTTAGGCCCACTGGGAAGTTGAAAGCTAGGTAGGCCCTGCCATGAACAAAGCGATATGTCCCATGCGGACAGATGCATTTGCAAGGCATGGGCTTGCATTCGCATTCGTACGTAAGAGAGCATTGAACTTCAAAGACGCGTTCTCATTCCCCTTCTACTACTTTCAGAGGGAGAGACGCCGAAATTCCCTTTCCACATCTTCAATGAAGGTAGCCAGCCCCGATCCCACGTATTTTTCACAAATGAGCTAACAGACTGTGCAAGAATAGAGTCCACTATAGTCCAAGAAAAATCGCTCGCAACATTAACTGCCGAATTACCTCGATTCACGACCTAGATGGAATTCGGCCAACACATCAGATCGCTGCTCAGCACTATTTCTTTTTCGTCAGAAATCGAAATTCACCACGATGGTGCATTCAGGGCGACACCTGCATCAAACAATAGCAAGCGGTCAGCAGAAAGAAATGACACATGGAATGAAGCTTGCACGGCTCAGTTGTGCACGTTCTTTGAAACTTCGTCATGTCGAACATGCATACAGCAATTTCGACATACCTGCACACATCAAGAGCGGGTTCATGCAACACGATGCTAGACGTGTGAGCAGCCATTCAAGTCTGCGGCCTTAAAGACGGACAGTTCTCAAAAAGGCCAGCCACCGCAGACTCCCGAAGGTTCACGCAGAAGCTGAGCAGGATCTGAGTGCAGCTGAGAATTCTTGCAGAAGCTAAACGTTCAGACGCTGTCAGCATTTAACGCTTTGTGGCATCGCCCGAGGCGGACACTGTCTCTAGCCCAGGATGTGCCAACTTTGGCTCCACCAGTTGACAGCCTGATTCCCATTTGCACTCATATCCAGTCGCAAAGGCATCTCAGCGAGGTTGCTTGCTCTTTGACTACTCCATTCCAAAAGATTTCAGAGGTCCAGGCAGTGTCCCACATCCAGAAACGATAGGTTTGGACAGTGCCTGCAGAATGATTTATGCATGACAATGTGAGCAGCAGACAACGGCTTCTTGACCACTAAGCTCCCAGCTCCAGCAGATATGTCACGGCACGATCCCTGGAGTGCATTAGCATGCAAGAATGGTGATGTTACAACCCGAGCTTCAAAACCGATGCTGATCCGAGACGATGCTTTTTTTCCAAGCTTTTGCATAGCACGCGTACAGAGCGTAGCGCGCGCTGCAAAAGAATCTGCATCCACCTGTTTTTTGGGGCTGGGACGCCAGTTTCTGCGACGTGGTGAGTTCCAACGTCCTGCAGGAACACTCACATATCCAATCGCTCTGCAGATCTTAACCAACTGCGCCGCAAAAGCCTCAGGGACGTCGATGCAAGCATTGCATTTTCAATGGAAGATTGCACCTGCAGCGGGTGATGCAGTATGCAAAATTGAGCAGTTGATTTTTTGTGACAAATGCTGGGCGTGTTGGAGGCTTACCATGCTCTTCAGCCATCCTCCTTTTGTTCCGCACATGGCGAAGTCGGACACATTCTTGCGGTTGGCTGAGCACTTCGGCTTCTTGCAAACAAACAAAAGCAAAAGCCCCAAAGCTGGCTGTGAAGAGGGCTCTAAACATCCATATATGTGAAATAGGAATGCAAGTTGGGACTTCGAATGGTTTGGTACGGTTGTGGGGCCCTTTCTTCCGAAAAGGCGACACATTAGCAACGTAATAAATGAACAAGCGAGCGTCCAAGAATAAGACTCCCGAATACCACGGCGAGCGGCTGGACGGCACGAGGTGGATCCTAAAAGTTGAATGTCGTCAAAACTACAGGGCTGATCCTTATAACCGCTCTACCGCCGTCATGCCCTGCCCTGCAATCTTCAGCTGCAAGGCCGCCCAGCTGTACCGAGCAAGTGGGCATTGGAGTGAAACCTAAGTTGCAAGAAAATTCCATGTTCACTGCATCACCTGCTGCACATTCGACGTCAAAGGCCAGCACGGGTTGCAAGATGAATTTGTGGGCAGACCTGGATGCGCAGTTGCGAAAGATGTTGTTTCTGTTTGGAAGTACTTGGCTTGAAGTCGTTTACTTCAAACGTCCTGACCCATGAAATGGGGCAAGATAAATTGCGATCCTGAAGATCTAGCCACCCATATTGTCCTGCACTAACATTTTCAAATCGAAGACCCTGCTGGAGTTAGAGTTAGTTGCAACAGCACATCGACAGGCTTCCTCCAAAGGAGACGAAGGCTTCGAAAACAAAGTTTGTTGAAAGAAAGGAGGGGCCCTGTGGAATTTCAGAACTGCCCAACTGCACTGGATGCAGCTAAGCACAGCGCTGCGCAGGCAAGCCTGAGCTTCCTAACGAGTAAAGCCTCGAACCCAAGCCCAGCAAAGATTCCAAAGAAAGAATCTTGTGAACCCTGGAATCTAGAATGGAACCTACCTAACCAAGGCCATGGCCACAGCATGACGAGCTCATTCCAGACCTTTGTCGTTCACTGTGTGGCAAATTTCGTGTAGTGGCTGAACATCCAACCAGCAAGTGTGTAAAGTTCGTGCAGACTCTGCCACACTGGAGACCGTTCAAACATCTGCAAGGCATAGTCAACTATGTCTGCCGCCTTCCCCAACAGCTCTCTGCAGTAGATAGCCTGATCGGGTTACGCGTTACGCCACGTGCTTTCTTCATCTTGTTAGAAAGTAGAAGCGTAAAGCATAAGCGGGCATAAGCGGAGTACCGTTCGTACCGCTCTTGCCACGCACGGCAGCAAGGACCTCAAGGGCCATGGCAGGAGCCGCCAGGTCTCAAATACGGCTTCCGCCCAGTATTATGGGGGTAGTCTTATTTGACATGCAGTGTCTGAGTTCTGACCACCACAGCGGAAGCCAGAGCTGCCACAGCACACACCTCAGCATCTTTGAATCCAAAGCCAAGCTGCAAGTAAGCGCTAGTACTCAGCTTCACATCAAGCAAGGCCGCAGACTGCAGCGAGGCCAGATGATGCCGGAAAGGTTCCTGATGAGCAGCAAGCAAGTAGAGTGAGAGAAGATTGGAAATCCTTCTCCTGCGGCTGGCAAGACAAGTGACCAAAAGAGGCGCTGGCCGTCAACATCCGGCGTCGAAGGATCGTCTACTGGTAACGTAACGGTCCCCATGTCTTGAATGTAGAACCTGAGCACCAGCAGTTGGCTGAAGGGTAAACTTGTCAAGCATCTTCCAACAATTGCTCACCAAGCTCTTCGCCCGGTAATCTCTAGTTTGCCCAGCTTGTCACTAAAGCCGTCGTCGACTCGGATGAGGCCTTGACACGAGATGAAAACTGCTGATGGCCTTTTTGCCCACGCTATACATCACTCACATGCTCAAAGCCCCAACAAGACGAGTGAGCACCAGGCGAGCACGGACCATCTTGTTTAACAGCTCGTGGCTGACAGCATATGGGAGTCCATCTCTGAACTGCACCTGAGCCTGGCAAACCCGTCAGGTAGCGTCTGAAACGAAGAGAGCTTGCGCGGGAACTGTTTGTTCTCAAGTGCGGCCGCAGATTAGGTTTTTTGGCATTGACTTTCCCGTAGCGGTGAACAACAATTCAAACGGATATCTGCATCGGTCGGTAAACAGGGCCTGCTGAACGCATGGCAACCCAAAGTCTTGTTCCTGGTGTGGAAAACCGTACCAGGGGTACCCGCTGGGGCACCTACTGCCGCTATCGTTCACAAATTTTTGCAACCCTCAAATGTCACAGGGAGGGTCGGGGGTGAAACTCTACCGCTGCGTTTTTGCGTTTTTGCGGGTATACTTAGTGGACATGGTCGACTTCCATGG